TGAAGTTTGAGTAAAATCCAATAAATGGAAGCTTAAAATATCTTATATTAGTATTATCAACAGTATTTATAACAGGTGGATTAATTTTCTTTTCAACATATAATTTAATTTCAGTGTCGATAAATTTTTGTGGAAATTGATTATTTTTTAAAACTAAAGAAAGATTTTTTATATCCTTATCAAATCCAAACCACGTGTTGGTAATTTTATATGTTCGATTAATCAAGCAACATATAAGACCAGTTTTGTAACATGAAGGGACAAAACTAAAGAAATTTTGTAAAAGACCTGTGTATGTTTTTTTGTGATAAACTGATGTCTACATCAGTTTATCACAAAAAAAATACACAGGTCTTTTACAAAATTAATAAGTCTAATACACAGAGTGAATTAGACTTATTAATAAGAACATCCAAAAATGGAATTTGGTTGTCTTTTTCTTTTTCCATAGTAAATCTTAAGTTTTTGTGTTGTTTATTGAGATGTTTAAAGAATTCTTGCGCTTCAAACTCTGAATTAAAAATTGCTATTATGTCATCCACATAACGTTTATAAAAAATCAGTATGGAGGATGAGCAATTATTAACCCACGTTTGTTCATGAAAACCGATAAACATATTAGCTAAAATTAGCGCTAAAGGAGAACCCATTGCAACGCCATCTAATTGATCATAAAGTTTTCCGTTAAATAAGAAATGAGAACCTGACGTTGAAATTTGAAGTAATTTTTTAAAATGAGTTTTAGAAAAATATTTTGAGCGAGTTTCATCTTTAAAAAATAATTCTGTTGCTATATTTATAGTTTCATTAAATGGAATGTTAGTAAATAAGCTTTCAAAATCATAAGAAACTATAAATTTGTTAGTTACGTCAACTTGTTTTTAATCTTCAACGAATGAAAATGAGTCATATGAGTATAATGTTTTGGTAAATATGGAGATAATAAATCTGAAAGATGTTTAGCAAGTTTATAATTATATGTGCCAATTGTTAAAATAATTGGTCGAAAAGATGGTAGAAAAGAATCTTTACTAAGTTTGTGCATCTTAGGTAGAGCATAAATTCTTGCTGGTTGTGAACCAACAGGATAAATTTTATTGTAAATGTCTTTTTCAAAACATTTAAGTTTTTTAAGTTTACTAAGATACCCTTTTAAAGATACTTTTCTTTTTATAGTTGGATCATCTTTTAATTCTTTAAATTTAGTTTTATCACTTATAATATTATTAATAGAATTTATATAGTCGACTTTATATAAATACAAAAATATAAATATATATATATATATATATATATATATATATATATATATATATATATATATATATATATATATATATATATATATATATATATATATATATATATATATATATATATATATATATATATATATATATATATATATATATATATATATACCTATGGATGCAGCATTAGATATACACTGATAATGCCTTACTAAAAGAGGTAGCTGCTAGTGCTTCAGTATATAAAACTAAATGTTACAGGTCAAGTCTTGATCAAGAAAAATAACAAATATATATATATATATATATATATATATATATATATATATATATATATATATATATATATATATATATATATATATATATATATATATATATTTATTTGTATAACAAATATATGTATATATATATATAAATATATATATATATATATATATATATATATATATATATATATATATATATATATATATATATATATATATATATATATATATATATATATATATATATATATGTATATATTTATATATAAGCGAGAGGTTCTGAGTTTGATCCCCACCAAGTTCCTGGTAGTACCGCGCTCAACTTATTTTTCCATGCAGCGGCCTTATTTGTCAAGGTTCGTGTTTGGAATTATAGAGTTGAGAGAGGGTTATGACCACAAATAAGTAGCCTCCTCGCCTGTAGTGGTCTTTTTTTTCTTTTTTTTTCTTTGTTAATTCACCTTATATTTGAATTATATAAAAAGAATTATATTTGTATTAACAATAATATTAACAAGAATAATTAAAATCTATTCAATGAACTATTACAAATTTTAGACTTGCTTACCTTATGCCAACAAGTACAACCTTTGTAGTATATTGTTTGGTATTAAGATCAATTACAGCTATTGGTAGTTCTTTTACTTTAACGGCATCTTTGGCTATTATAAGCGAAGTATTTAAGAAAAATAGAGCATTAGCATTTGTAAGTAAAAATTTTCATTTTTAAATTACCTATAAATTTACACCTAACTAATCTTGTGTTTAGTTATTTTTTAGTTATATATATATATATATATATATATATATATATATATATATATATATATATATATATATATATATATATATATATATTTATATATATATATATATATATATATATATATATATATATATATATATATATATATATATTTATATATATATATATATATATATATATATATATATATATATATATATATATATATATATATA